GTGATTCCGGATCTCCCCTCCTTCCGCCGCGCCCTCAAGACCTGGCTGTTTCAGCAGGCAGGACTGGCCTAGGGGTAATTTTAAATTGGTTTTAATTGAATTTTAGTAGTGCGGCCGATTCGAATATTTATTTTTAATTTATCTTAGATTTGTATTTTGTATAATTGTTTTAACTGGCTGTAAGCCGCCCTGAGTCCTCTGGGAGAAGGGCGGGGTATAAATGAAATAAATCTTAAATCTTAAATCTTAAAATCTTCCTTGACGCAAAAGCCATTTGCTTGTTTTCTTGGGCTGGTGCTATCAGGAAGCTCCCTTCCTGAGCTGAGCTGTGGGCCAATCGGGTTAATCTGTTCTTCAGAAAGAACTGGGCCTGGTCTCTCTTTAAAAGCTTGCCTAGTATATTGTACAATAAAAACATTGGTTGAATGGAATCTATCTGATGAAATGACTCATATCAAAATAAACAGGTCTGTCTTCCAAAATGCCACAGAATAATTATTTTTCAATATAGGGTATCATCTCCAGCATTCTCTGAGGTTCACTTTTTGAACTGAAGAACTTTGTGGGTTTTCCAGTTGCTCTGTTGCTTGCTGTCTTCACTACCGGTCTTTCCCCACCCTATCCCTTTCATAGCAAGCTAAAGCAACTTCTGCTATCTCTGAAATCTGTAGAACAGATGCCTAAATTCATCCCACTAGGTCTTTTTTTCCTTGGCATTTCAGAGGCATGAGCCACAGGTATGCAAAGCCACTGTCAGAAATACTTCACATTCAGGCACTTCTTTTCTCTACCTTTAAAGAACTGGGAATAAAGAAAGAATCTGACTGTGCCACGTGTAATGTGATTTCCACTCTTTCAGCTCCTGATGGTCCCCCACTAGATGTCACCTTGCAGCCAATGACATCCCAAAGCATCCAGGTCACCTGGAAGGCAAGTATGTGTGTTCCATGCTTGAAGGAGGGCTGGGATCAGTGGCACTTCTTATTTATTTGAACTACAAAAATAACAGCTTATGACCAGGCATGGTCCATCGGCTGATGTGGTGCAGAAGGTGCTCTTGTCCTTTCCCCAGGAGACACATATGAGAAGGCTGGCCCCATCCTTGCTCCTATTTTGAAGCTCTGGGCCTTTGACATCTGAAGCAACCAGAGAGGGATGAAATGGTGATGCAGCCCAGAGGGGGGCAATGTGGGAAAGACCCTGTGGCTCTAGTATTTAGCCCACCAGCCTTTGCTGCTGGCCTGTAATGCTCTGAAGTTCGTGTGGGTCACTACAGAGCCTCTGTTTCAGTTGTGCTGAACTGAAGAGGACTTACAAGAAGGCATTCAACTCCTTGGCATGTGATTGGATAATCAAATGCCTAGAAATAATAACAGCCAGTAGAAACATCAGAAATTTTGTGCAAAGATCAATGGCACAATGGAAGACATGGTTGCCGGTCAATTATGATGGACCGGGAGAAGTTAATATCAAGAGAGGAGTCTTTCAAGGAGATTCACTATCACCAATACTATTTGTCATTGCACTGATTCCTTTTTCAACAATACTGAACAAATTAGGCCATGGGTATTAAACATTAAAAACATCTGCCAGGTTCTCCCACCTCCTTTACATGGATGAGCTGAAGCTGTAAGGAAAAACATAATCTGAAATAGAATTTATGCTCAGCACTGTCCATATATACAACCACAAAACTTTAGTGGAGTTTGGAATGGACAAATGTGCATCTTACCATCAACATGAGAAAAAAAGTGAAAACTAAAGGAATCAAGATATCCTATGGAAATAACTCTGGAGCCTGGATGAAGATGATCACTACAAATACTTGGGCATCTTTCAAACTGACAATAACACCTACACTGAAGTAAAGAAGAAGGTTAAACATAAATACATGATTAGAGTGAAGAAGATCTTAAAATCCAAACTCAATAGAGGAAATACTATCAAGGCAATTAGCATCTGGGCAATTCCTGTCATAGATACACAGCTGGAATAGTAGACTGGACTCAAGCAGAACTAAACGCCCTGGATAGGAACGCCAGAAAAATAATGGTAATGAATTATGCCCTTCATTCACACATACTGTAGGTGTTGACAGACTTTACTTATCAAGGAAAATAAGTGAGCATGGAATGTTGCAAGTACGCCAGACAGCTGAAGAAGAAAAAAGGGCATTGGAAGAATCTCTGAAACACAGTGAAGAAGATGCATTGAAACGAGTATACTAGGAAGGCTTACTGAAGACGGGAGAGACCAAACTGGCCTACAATGGACCAAATGAAGAATGAAAAAAAAACATTGCAAATATTACTTGGCCAGTACATTAAAAAAAAGCTAGCAGGCAAAGCAGGTAACAACAAGCCCTGGCAATGGCTAAGAACAGGAAAGCTGAAGAAAGAGACAGAGGACATAATTCTGGCTGCCCAAGACTAAGCCTTAAGAACAAAAGCATGCACAGCCAGAATTGAGAAGACAATAATACACAGCAAATGCTGCCTCTGCAAAAAGGCTGAATAAAGAGGAGGGGGTCAATTTATTTTCCAAAGCACCAGAAGACAAGACAAGAAACAACGGATGGAAACTAACCAAGGAGAGAAGAAACCTGGAATTAAGGAGAAACTTCCTAACAGTGAGGACAATTGACCAGTGGAACAGCTTGCCTCCAGATGTTATGGGTACTTCATCACTCAAGGTTTTTAAGAAGAGACTGGACAGTCATTTGTCTGAAATGATATAGGGTCTCCTGCTTGAGCAGGGGGCTGGACTAGAAGACCTCCAAGGTCCCTTCCAGCTCTATTCTAATTGATTGAAACTGGACCACCTAGTTAGCTGCTGCAAAAAGATCATGCAGACTGAGTGCAAACAATGGCATGACACAATACCAATAATAGAAGATCTAATAATAATAATAATAAAGTTGGAAGGGACCTTGGAGGTCATCTAGTCCAACCCCCTGCTCAGGCAGGAAACCCTATACCATTTCAGACAAATGGCTGTCCAATCTCTTCTTAAAAACTTCCAGTGTTGGAGCATTCACCACTTCTGGAGGCAAGTTGTTCCACTGGTTAATTGTTCTAACTGTCAGGAAGTTTCTCCTTAGATCTGGGACATTAGAATTCAAACAGATAAGCACCTGCTACAAAACAATCCAAACTTAACAATCGTTGATAAGAAGACAAAAAAGTCTGGATAGGGGACACGGCGATACCTAGAGACAGCAGAAGAGAAGAACTGGAGAAAATCACAAAACATAAAGACCTGCAAATAGAAGTAGAACAACTGGCAAAAGAAAGCAAAGCACCAATATATGCCTTAAGTGTAATCTCAAAATATCTGGAGCACCCCTTGAACACCACTGGCATTGAAAAAATCCCCATCAGTCAATTGCAAAGGCAGCTTCCCTAACCCTAACCTTTAACACAGAGGTCCCCAACCCCCAAGTCATAGCTCACTACCGGGCCTTCAGCTGTTTGGAATCGGACTGTGGGAGTGGTGGGCAAGCATGCACGTGTGCATCCCCACTTGTGTGAGCAGCAGCTGAACACGTGTATGCATGGTACATTTGTGTGAGCAGTGTGCATGCATGCCCGCCACTCACACAAATGGAGCTGCATGCATGCGTTGCCACTGCTCCCATGGAACCATCCCCTCCCCTGCCGGTCCGCAAGGCTGGGAAGGTTGGGGAACTCTGCTTTAATGCCCTCAAACAACATCTGCCTATCCCAGGTTCTTGAGAGGATTCGATAGATAAAAATGCCAAATCTAAACATCTGGCTGACTGTGTGACCAACCATAATGATAATTTATTAAATTTACATGCCATCTGACTCCCAGTGCCCAACTCCCAGCAACTCTGAGTGGTTATTTTGAAAATAAATAGATAAATATATTTTTTAATTTATTTATTTTTAAATATTGAGGAGAGAACTTTATTTGCAGAAAGTCCTTCAGTTGAACGACTGGATTTAATATCTGAGGCAGGGGCTTCCTTTTTGGCCTGCAAGGAGCTTACACTGTCTTAAGAGGAAGGTAAAAATGAGAGTGCTCTTGGCTCGTACTAAAACCAGCCAGCCTTCTTGGTGGGGTCTTGGCCTCAGGGGTCCTGCTCCTCATCTCAGAGTGCTTTCTTCCCAAGATACTGGCTGAGTGCTGGAGAGGGCTTCCACCTGTCCACTTTTTCTGTTTGTCCCTCTTTTTGGATCTGTACCAAAAGGAAGACCAACTCTTCTGCCTTTCTCGTGTTGGTGCTTCCATTGCCAGCTGGGATCCTGTCATCCAGAGCATGTGAATGTAAGGAGGGCAGGCTACACTGATGGCTTGGTAGACTCTTGGGCCATTTGAACAAGCCTGCATATCAGCTGGTTGAAACTGGGATGGGAATGCAGGCAGTTAACATTTAGATGGTTGGATAGGGGAGTCACTCCCCTCTCTCGTCCTGAATCTGCCTGCCATGCTCTGACTCTGCCCTGGACTCTCTCCCCTATTTTTACTCCTCCTCTTTACTCACCCACCTCGTAGGCCCCAAAGAAAGAACTCCAGAATGGGGTTATCCGGGGCTACCAGATTGGCTATCGAGAGAACAGCCCAGGAAGCAGTGGGCAGTACAGCATTGTGGAGATGAAGGCCACGGGGGACAGTGAAGTCTACACCCTTGACAACTTGAAGAAATTTGCCCAGTATGGTGTGGTGGTGCAGGCCTTCAACCGGGCAGGCACTGGCCCCTCGTCTAGTGAAATCAATGCCACCACACTGGAGGATGGTAAGTCCTGGCAATTTCTTGGCTTCTCAGCGGCTGTTACATTTTATTTCAGTCCAGCCAGTCTTTCCTGCAAATGGCATCCTTCCACCCAAAGCTGCTACTATCTTTCCAAAGGCAGGCCTGTTTCTGTTTTCCATACATAAGAGGGTTTGTTTGTTTCATCATCAGGAGGCAGAGATGTTAGGCAAAGTTGGGTTTTATTATGTTTTAGACATTTTGGGGTTCTAGGTGCGTACAAATAGGTGGCAATTTCTGTGGGAGCTAAAATAAATGGTGGTCACTATTCTGTGATGGTCACCATTAGAACAAGTGTGTGAGACTGAGTGAGTGGGAGAGAGTGAGCCTTCCCTTCCCTTTTCAAAATCGGCAAAGGATACAATTCTGGACCTGGAATGCCTCCTCCCTCTTTCTCATTCTCTCTCTCTCCTTCCCCCCCCCCCCAGTATTAGTGTGGCATCTGGAGATGAAAGGGCCTGTGTAGGCTGCCTGTCTGATTTCAGTGACTGTGCTCCTCCTTACCCCAGGGGCACCCTGGGCCTTCCTTGAATGCCATTCTGGTGAGAGCCTGAAGTGTGCCATCCTTCAACACCCTAGTCTGGACTGGCGAGGGTAACTTTGAGTCTCTCCAGGGCTCCCTTGTGCAGCTGCCACCCCGTCTCTGAGCTCTCCACCCACAATACCTTGTGCAGAATGCAGCCTGTGACCCTGCCAAGGAGTAGCCCTGTTGTGCCCACAGCTGCCCCCGTTTCCTCTGGAGATTCTCCACAGGTTTTCATGGGCTAAGAGATCAGCACTTGGAAAACAAAATAGAAGTTTCTTCCTCACTGGTTCAGCAATTTTTCATACTTAATTAAGACCCTCATTAGTCTGTCAAAGCAGCATCATTTCCTGCCTAGATTAGCACTCCTCCTGGGGTATTCAAGAGCCCCTGTTTTAGCAATAGTGTTATTTCCCATAATTATATTACCTTCATTTTCTTCAAACGGATTCTCTATTAGTTTATAACACCAGCCTCTAATTACACCATGCGTTCGGCTTTACACCTAAATAAACTGAAACAATCATCCTTTTCCGAGTGGATCATTAGGATGATATATCATCATTTAAATGCTCATAAAAATTAGAGATCTGTCTTTGGGGGGCAGCAGGTTCTCATTACCTCTACCCCAATCACTCGCTGAGTCTTGCCTTCTTCAAGCAACTGCACAGCTTTGCGGGTCTAGTGGAAAATGCCATGGCAGAGGCCTCATCCTGGGACTCTGGGGAGCATGGATGGATTGGCAAATTAATCTGTCCACCTGTTTGAAAGAACGGCCAAGGGGCTATGGCAACCAAGGGTATCCCTTTGCATGTATTTCCCTGTTCAGTTCCCAGCCAGCCCCCTGAAAACGTGAGGGCCTTGTCCATCACCTCTGATGTGGCCGTCATCTCATGGTCCGAACCCCCTCGGAGCACCCTCAATGGCATCTTGAAGGGCTATCGGGTCATCTTCTGGTCTCTCTACATGGATGGTGGTGAGTTGGGAGCAATGTGCTCATTTCATTTTCATTAATTGAATTTAGTGTAGTATCATATCTGGAGGGCAGAAGGCTATTTTTCCTCCACTAACACATCAGAACTTCAGATAGTTCATGTCAGAACTGATGTTCTTCCTACCCTCTAACTGGATACTGGAAGCCAAGCTGGTGCTACCTGTCACTCAATGCCCCTGACACCACTGCAAGATAAGGGAATCCAACTCCACTCTCCTTTGGGAACCTCTTGTAATTATTTGTCTTGTTCTGATAGCTGGCTCTCGCTGCATTTGGCACAATGGCCCCAGCGCACTTTCTCAGGGATGCCTGGAGTCACTTTGCAGACTGCAGTGCTCCTTAAACTGTCTCCTGCTCAGTGCAAGCAAATAACAGGAAGGACCATTTGGACTGTGGCAGAGAGAGCACATTCCTTTCTGAGCCCCAGATCCTCTCCCAGCTGGGTTTCTGGCAAGTGAACCAGGCTCTGTGCAGGAGCTCCTCGGGTGTGTGTGTGTGGGGGGGGCTCTAAGCCAGTGGTTCTCAATATGGGCCACAGAGGTCCCTGAGGCCATGCCATATTTCTAGGGAGGCACAGTAAGTTTCTGAGGTGGCCTCCTTCCTTACATAAATATTGAAATGTATTACTATTTACACTATATGATACAAATCAGAGTAATAAACAGTACAGGTAGTAAATTACCTTTTGTTTCTAGAGAACAATGATTGTGAGGTGGGGGGGGCATACAGGTAAATGAGGCTCACAAGGGGGCCATGATTAAAAAAAATTGAGAGCAGCTTCTTTCTTTGCTCCCCAACATCCAGGGCAGGCTTACTACTTTTGAGGGTTTTGTGGGATGGTTTATTAGGGGTTCTTTTAGGCTGTAGCAACAACTCTTTGTGTGTGCATAAGAGCCCATGGGAGTGAGTGTGTGCTTCCTTCCACAAAATGTGGCTGACCCTTGAAAGGCTTCCTCTGCTGTTTTCAGGGGCCTTGTGTCCTATGGGGGTGGGGGGAAGCAAGCTGAAGGTGGCAGGGCAGGGTACCACTGCTGTACTGCATCCTGGCTTTGTCCACCTGCCGGATAGCAAGTGGCAGCTCTGTCCCATTTGTGAGCCTTGGGGCAGCCTCCAGTCAGATCCCTAGGCTCTTTCCCCACTTCTGTGCTGGAGGCTTGCTGGGCAAATCAAGCCACGGCAGGCTGAGTTGGGAGGCTTTGGAGGGCAGCGGGAGCCTTGCCTGCCTCTGCACAGAGTGTTCTTGCTTCCTGAACAGAGTGGGGGGAGATGCAGAATGTCACCACCACTCGGGAGCGAGCAGAGCTGCGGGGCATGGAGAAGTTCACCAACTACAGTGTGCAGGTTCTGGCCTACACCCAGGCAGGTGATGGGGTCCGCAGCAACGTCCTCCACATCCAGACTAAAGAAGACAGTGAGTGTCTGCAGCTGAGGTCTATGAAACTGGATAGAATGGGGGTGGGTGGGGCAGCATCTGTTCCTTGGCCTGTGTAGAGCTCTCCCACAGCGTCTGTACAGGGGACAGATGTCCTCTTTGGGGTGTGGATGATTCTGCTGTGCTATGGCTCCATAGGGCCCACTCTGGTGGCCTGGGGCTTCACTTCTCCTCTTTTCCTCCCTCCCTCTGGAGTTGGGGAAACTCCAGAGTTTTTTACCCCACTTATCTCAGTTATGTGGCCTGACTCACTGCAGTCAGAGGGCTTGGCTTGTTTCTGTTGTGACTCTGGACCTGGACCTCTGATCTCCCTCCTGGGAGGAGACTGTCCTGCTGTCTGAAAGATGCCCTGAGTCAGGGGCTGCTGGGTGTTGGAGGGCCTAGAGAAGCCAGGGGGCCAGAAGGCTTAGAAGGATAGAGACCTGCAGGGCGGAAGGGAATCAGAGTCCATACAGGGAGAGCAACCCATCGAAGGACCAGAAAACAGCCTCTGGAGCACATGCTGGCTTTGGCCAGCCTGCCTTTTTGATCCATCTCAGAGTTGGAAAGGGGTGCTTCACCTGGGTTGCGCTCTAGTGGTTCGGGGGGGGGAATTGTAGAGGCTGGTGAAGAGCATCCAGAAGGAACTGGGATTCCTTTCTAGCTGTGACATGATTTGAATGGTGGGTTGGATTGGTACTGGGGACACCCAGGTGAAGCCCACCTGGATGGCAGCATTCCGAAGTGTGGGCTGGCCAGCTGATCCCTTCCAGCAGCCTTCCATGCATGGCAAGAGAACATTCTGCTGGAGCCCCACTTCCTCAAACCCTTACTCTACTTGTCTCGGTCGATCAAGAATCTGTCGGAAGCAGACTGGGCTGGAAGCAAGCTGCTGCCAGGACTTTCCCTCTAATGGCAGAAGTTGCTCTAAAGGGAGAAACTGGTGTCCTGCCAGTGAGACCTTTGGTGGCTGGCACAACTGGGGTAAAAGAAGAGGATTGTTCCTTCCCCCCCTCACCCCCAGCAGGGCATTGCAGTGAGTTGTGCTCCTTCCCTCCTGCAACAGCGTGGCTGCAGTGCGGCCCACCTAGAGAGGCCTTGAGAATCATGCCTCTTCTTTCCTCTTGCAGTTCCTGGTCCTCCTGCCGGGATCAAAGCGGTGCCTTCCTCTGCCAGCAGCGTTGTGGTATCTTGGCTGCCACCCTCAAAACCTAATGGGGTTATCCGGAAGTACACCATTTTCTGCTCCAGCCCAGGCTCTGGCCAGCCGGTGAGCAGCTGTGATGGGGCTCCTGGGAGAGTGGGCACGCCATAGTTGCCTGGCCACTAAGCCAGCGGGTTGCCAAGCCTTGTCTGTCCCCTGAAGAGAGGACTGGCCTCAGGTAGCTTTACCCTGGGGATCCTCAGCCCGGGTTGTAATCAGGAGCTGCCAGAAGCAGCCTGCAGTTCGGTGGATCATCTCAATCTATTTTGGACACTAGGATGGGGTAGGAAAGAACAATATGATAGTGGATCAGACCTTTCTCCCGTGGGGTTTTCCCTCCCTCCCCCCTGCCATTGTTTTTCTTTCACCACATTCCATAACTTACAGGCTGACAAATGTATCATTGCTTATTTTACAAAGCAGAAATAGATTTAAATAGCCAGCATTTATTTACTAATTTAACTTAAATCGTGCCTAGTGGCTAACCCCAATAATGCACAAATCTATATTTAAAACACAAGGCATTTAACAACACAGTCAAAGGTAGAGGTCCAATTGTCCCCTCCAGGGTTTCTGTGTTCTCTAAGATGGCCTTGGCTTTTGCTAGAGAGCTGGATGCAAATTAGGAGAGAGTTTTTGGCAGGTTCTGCTCTGAGCTCCCTGCCATAGAATGGACTGATCTACAGGAAAGGCTTTAGAGAGAAAAAAGTGCTTCCCTTCCTGCACAATAGGGTGGCTGCCCCTCAGTCTAGCTGGCCATACACATCTCCTACTTTGGTAGCCGCAGAGAGTAGGATCAGTTAGGATGGTCTGTCTTAGGCCTCTATGGATTTTGCTAGTTTTCAAGCATGTTTTGGGAATTTCCCAGTGATTTGGCAGATAATTTGACCTCAAGCTTAATTGAAGCATGACTACTTCCATGTCCTTAATGCACCAGCAGCTGGTTGAGGTTATCTCAACTGTGTTGGGTTTTGGAGAAGTACCTTCAAGCCACAACAACCTTTTTTGGTTAGTCACATTGAAGATAAAATCACTCATAGCTTCTTGAACTGGACAATGACCAATGAGATGCAGCAATCTGTGCCTTGCAAAATCACGAGAGATTCATTTGAACCATGAACCCCAAGAAGGTTAACAGGGTTTTCTGTGGGATGAACTTTGCCATATGTAGGCTAGCTCCTTGTCCCTCCTGGCTTTTCAGAGTTGCCAAGAGAGGATGATATGAGGAACTGGAGAAATGACAAATGCCTTTTTGAAAGTGGGAATGATATTGCCATGAAGTGAGCATCTGCTTCCAGCCCAAACTTGCCCTTCTTTGGGAAGATTGTAGAAGAAGGCATTGGGGCCCTGGGATGAAGTGGATATGGATTCTAGATTGTGCTCACGCCTGGATAGGGGACACAAGTTGCATTGTTTACTCTTGTGGATGACCTGTAGCAGGACCAGGAAGAACAGTGGTCCTTCTAGAGTTCTCAGCAGCATCCAATGCCATTTGTCATGATATTCTTCTGGAAATTAGTAATAGTCTTTGACAGTGCCTCTCCTCTTTCTTGACCTCTAGGTTTGGTTGGTGGGAAGGAGCCACTCCAACATGGAGAGCCTCTCAACCATTTTTGTTAACATGTATGTGCAACTTGTGGTTTAGGGTGAGGCCTCATTAGCTACCCATTTCCTGTCTCCAGTTGAGCAGAAGATGCAGAGACATCCTGACTCCATCTTTGCAGGGAGGAAACAGATTGCAGAAAGGTGAAGCCCTCTGGTTCTAGATTCCATCTCTTGCATTCCCCTGAAGGAGCAAGTGGACAGTCTGAGGTTCTCCTAGACCTGAATGAGCAGATAAAGGCTGTGGCCAGGAGACCCTTGGCCCAGCTTCAGCTGAGGTGCTACTTGTGGCCTCTTTTGGAGCAGAGGGCTTTGTCAACAGTGACTCATGCCATTATCTTCTGGCATTTGGACTACTATAATCATGAAGGCTACCTTGAAGATTATTTAGAAGTTACGGTTGATGCAAAAGGCAGCTGCCCACATACTAACAGGGGAAATCTGTTGTTGTTGACTAATACCAATATTGTGAAAGCTATCCCAGTTGTTAGTTTGTCTCTAGGCCAATTCAGTTTGGTGGTGATTACTTGTAAAGTCCTTCGTGGTTCAGGCTCAGATTGCATTCAAAACTGCTGGCTGCAAGTAAAAGCCCCCAGTGCCAGCAGGCCAAGAGGGCATGCTGCAGCCCACCCACCCCATTAAGGCCACATGATTACATGATAGAGTTAGAGCTTTTAGTTGTAAAAGCTTCACTCTAAAATAGCTTTCCATCTGAGCTTAGGATGCTCCCTATTGTCCCTAGAAAGGCTGTGAAGATGGTCTTCTCCTGTAGAGACTTCGAGGCAGCTGTCCTGGTAATACTGATTTCAAATTTGATTTATGCCAATATGAATATGATTTTACAATTCTTGTGTATCATCATTTCACTATTTTTAGGAGGCTGTGACCCATCTTGTAATAAACAAACAAACACACAAACAAACAAATAAATACAACAGAAGCATCTTCTATAGAACAGGCTGCTGCCCCTCTGGTCGGTTGCTACTTCTGGTCCTTGCAGGACACGGGCTCTTTTGTTCCGTCTCGTGTAGTTGTACCAGTGGCAGCAGCAACACAGAAATGGATGCAGCCCAGACCTTAGTTGGCCCCCAAAGCTTCCTGGCAACATTCAAGCTCTGTTAGCTTGGAAAGGAGGGCGGGGACAGCATTTGCTTATCAAAATCGCTTTCTGCAGTTCATTTTAACATCTGAGCCCTTCGTTTCCAGGGCAACACAATCTTTTCATCAAAGCAACTGGTGAAGCTGCTGGGATCTGATATTGTTTCCTTGGCATCTTGTCAAGGCTGCCATTTGGCTTAAAATTGTGCATGCAATGCAATATTTATGCTTGCATATTTAAACATTGGTTATATTGAAGTATTCTGCCTGTGGATCTATGAGTTCCAAGCATGCTAAAACAAAACTGTTTGGGCACAGAGGTGAGATATTTGTCTGCCAGTCAGGCTTGGCATTGGCCTTGATGGAGCTTTCCAGGCAGCCGCATGTGCCCACAGGTGGCAGCTCTGGGAAGTTGTGGCAGCCTTGAATCTGGAATGCAAGACTTCCCCAGGGAGGGGGAGGGGAGAGCCTCCCTTCCTCCTGACCCCAGAGAGGAGCCCAGATGCTGAGAACCTGAGGGCTCTGTGGGGGGCCTGCCTGCCTGGCTCCACCTCGGGCCACAGTTTAAAAGTGGTCCAGCCAGACAACCTGGACGCTCTGTCAAATCAGCAATCAGTGCAAGTCCCAGCAGCCTGAAGCCTCTCTTGAACAGGCATTTCCTCTGCTTGCCCAGATCCGTCTTGCAAGAGTCAGAAGCAGGGCGTGCTGGGAGTTGTGAGTTGTAATAGGGCAACAAACACACAAGTAGGTACCATCTGTCAGCTCCAGGCCAATGTAAACCTTGTGTTCTGATTGCCCAAGAGACAGGGTGAGGTCCAGGACCTCAGAGCTGAGGTCTGAGTTATTTCTCCCTTTAGGTTCTTGTAAACAGCAGAGATTGGGGCTATTTAACCTGTTTATAAAAGAGCCCAAGTTAGAAGTCAAAAGTGAAGTTGCCCCTATTTTTTGCTTAAAACAGAAACAGGCACTGAAGAAATCCAAAAGTATCTGTCTAGCTTGAAGAAATGGGGAGTAAATAATAAATTTGGTCCATTGTAGAAAGAATAACCTATCTGCACAAATGTATGAGATCTTGTAGAAGTTGAGGAAAGCTCTTAGGGAAAAGCCTTTCTCCTAAGACCAGAAAGCAGGGGAGTTTCAGGGAAGCCAAGTTGTTGAGATTTTGGACAGTCCAAGAAGGAAATGAAGGTGTATATCAACGAGGGCCCCTAAACCCAAGAAAGGCAAATTTAGCAATGGCTCAGGAGTTGCTAGTGCGGGCTGCTAATGCTGCCTCCAGCGCCACAGGCCTATGGGTGGCAGCTATTGGGGTACATGGGCTCCCGAGAGGCCTCCACTGGGCAAGCAGGAAAGCAGACTGATCCAGCTGCAGGCCTGTTCTCCTTCGGTTCTCCTGCAGGCTCCCAGCGAATATGAAACAAGTCCGGAGCAGCTTTTCTATCGCATTGCACACCTGAACCGCGGGCAACAGTACCTGCTCTGGGTTGCCGCTGTCACCTCTGCAGGGCGGGGCAACATGAGCGAGAAAGTCACCATTGAGCCTGCTGGAAAAGGTTTGGCAGTGGAACGGGGAGCGCCTGGCAGTTCAGCTGCTGTGGACCCCCCGCCATGTCACCCTCCCCCTCTTTTGCAGCTCCAGCCAAGATCATCTCATTTGGGGGCACAGTTACCACCCCTTGGATGAAAGATGTACGACTGCCATGCAGTTCAGTGGGGGATCCCCTCCCAGCTGTGAAGTGGACTAAAGACAGGTATTTTTTGCCAAGGGGGAGGGGCTTGGAAGGTCTCTGGCCAGACCATGCCTTTCTAATGTTCAGGTTTTCTTTTGCAGTGATGATTCGGCTATTCCGGTCATTTTGGATGGTCATCGTCAGATCCAGTCCAACGGCACCCTGATTCTGCGTTCTGTGAAAGCAGAGGACTCAGGCTATTACACTTGCACTGCCACAAATACCTGGGGATTTGATACCATCATTGTCAACTTGCTGGTGCAAGGTGAGTTATCAGAAGGAACTCCCCTCCCCCCCGGGGAGGATTTTGTCTTTAGGATAAAGGACTGCCTAACTTCCCTGCCCCAGAGTGCCCAGCTTTGCGAACTCCTACAGCTGAATGTGGAGGAGCCGGGTGACAAGGAAGCTGACCCAAATGGCCTTCCCTTTCAGTCCCTCCAGATCAGCCCCGGCTGATGGTGTCCAAGACTTCGGCTTCATCTATCACCTTGGCATGGATCCCTGGTGACAATGGTGGCAGCTCCATCCGAGGCAAGTTGAAGGAGGGTGGCTGCGCTTGCTGGATAGACAGACAAAGCTTGGCTGTTCCTGAATGTCTCCCCAACTCTGTCTCCCCTTCCTTCTCTGGGTTTGGGCCTTTTTTCTGCAGGGTGGGCTCTTGGTCTTCTGGGCGCAGCTGCCTCATGTTGCTGTGGCCAAAGACTTAGCAAGGGAGGCTGGTATTGGGTGAAGGCATTCTTTTGAGGAGCACTAAATGGCTCCTTGGCTCTGTGAAATACTCCTTAGAGCTTCATCTGAGGTTGTGTGTCTGTGTAAGCTCCAAACAGTTCCGACTGCAGCTTATTTAGCAAAGGCAGGGCAGGGCAGGCAGTTCCTTCTTACCTGAGCTCAGGTTCTTTGTGCCTCCCCAACCAGCTTGTTTAGGGAGGAGGAGGAGGAGGAGGAGGAGGAAGTTCCTATCCTTCATTTTTATTTCACAACAGGGCTATAGTTTGGTAGGGTTGAAAGGTAGCAGCTGGTGGAAGATTAGGCCGAAATCAGTGGAGATTCCAAGATGCATTTCCCCAGTCTCGGCCTGATTCCTGGCGTGAAGCTGTGTGCCAGTGCCGCCTTGTTCATCCGCTTCAGTGCCCTCAGGGAAACAATGGCAGCCCCAGAAGAAGAAGTGAAGGGAGTCTTCACATTGCAATTAATTAAACTCATGGAAATACTGTAATTACAAGGCAGTCTCCCTAGCCAGCAGCATTTGCTGGATGTGTTTCCTTTTAATTGAAACAGCCAGAAGTGCTGCGGTGCAACTGATGGGGGTAGAATCCTCTGCCTGGACTGATTCATTGCTTGGTTGGGGGCAGTGGGGGGGTTGTGACTTCCAAGAGCAGCAAGTGGAGGAGCAGGAAGAGAGCTGGAAAAAGGATGGGCATGGAAGAGCACAACTGAAAGAGCCATTTTCTACTTCATGGCTCGTGGAGGGGGAGAGGGTGGCAGCAGGTCCCCAACTGCCCGAATGGAACCTCCCTCTCTGGCACAAGCACACATGTGTAGGAACCACACTCCTCCTTGGTGACATGCACAGATGGGCCCTGAGACAGCCTGCATCTTCTTGTTTGGCTTTGCTTATTGAGATGGCTGTCTAGAAGGCTGGGCACCCAATGGAAGATTTGCGGTTTCTTTTTTTGGAGGAGACCCCCGGCTGTCCTGGGGCATGGGGCAGGGGGGGAGGCTTCAGGGACTTAAGCCTGAGCTGCTGGCATGAACGGGGGAGGGTGCAAGGAGATGGCAGAGGCTTCTGCTGCATGGACTCCCCTTCTCCAAATTGCTCCCTTTGCTGCACCTCTGCAGGCTTTGTGCTCCAGTACTCAGTGGATAATAGTGAGGAGTGGAAGGACGTGTTAATTGCTTCCGCAGAGCGCTCCTTCAAGCTGGGCAGCCTGAAATGCGGGACCTGGTACAAGGTGAAGCTGGCAGCCAAGAACAGCGTTGGAGCTGGCCGCATCAGTGAGATCATTGAGGCCAAGACCCACGGCAGAGGTGACTGGTGCCTGGGGCTGGGGGAGGAGCCAGGCAGCAGCTTGGGAGCCTCTGGCCAGGAGGAAGGAAGGAAGGAAGGAAGGAAGGAAGGAAGGAAGGAAGGAAGGAAGGGAGCCTTGCAGAGTGGATGTTGGGATTTGTTCAGAGGAAGACCGAGAGGCTTTCTTAGAGTTGGAGTTAATTGGGAAGGAAAGACTTCAGAGAGGGAAATTGTGGTTCCCACACACATTTTAACAAATTATGCATAAAAACGCTGTCCATCCTGACTTTCTTCTGGCCTGGAGCTCATCTGAAGGAGGAACAGCCTTCTGTGGGAATATTTCACCCTGGCCTCCTAAGGAACTCATTTTAAACAAAGCAGACAAGTTTATTATAATGGTTTGCAGTCAGCCTCAAAGGTTTCAAAGGTTTGTCAATTTCAGGAATGCCAGAGAGAAGTGCATCACCTGAAGCCTAACTGAAATATTAACCCATCAAGTTGATTGCAAGCTTGGTGCGGATCTTAGCAGACCATTTAGGATCAAAGCTACTGTGAATTTTCTTGTATTAAGGAGGCCTCCTAATGAATACAGGATCCTTATGGAAGAATCATGAACACTTTTCCCTTTAAATTCTGCCGTGACTTTGTCTGTAGAAAAAAAAAGCGTTGCTTTCCCCAAACCAAGAAAATTAGAAAAAGCATTTAGATAGCCCTCTATCTCCCCCCCATTTTTCCTTCTTTTCTGGAGATATTTTGAACATTTGAACTTCAATTACTAATAATTTAAATAATTTTTATATTGCTAGCAATGAATATGGATGCTGTGCAGGCTGCAACTCAAAAAATATTATTTCAATATTTTTGGGGAGGGAAAAGGGAAATTAATTAACCCCTTTTTAGAGGGGGGAGCTGATCCTTTGTGAGGAAGGGTCTCTGATATATCTCTGCAGCAGGTCATCTGCCATTGCACAGCTGGGAAAGGGCAGCTGCCTGAGGAGCCTGGCTGAAGGGAACACCTGCCCAGACTGGGCTACTGTGATGGCAGACAGCTCATGGAGAGCATCTTGGGAGCTCTGGGTTTTGTAGTGCCTAAATTGATGATGATGATGATGATGATGATGATGATGATGATACTTAATGTGTGTGCTCTACATTTTATTGGTTAGCGGGTTAGGCAGCACACTTTAAGGGAACATACGTCATGAAAAAAATCCTTGGTGCCTCTTTCCAGAACCTGGCAAACTGCTCTATTCTATTCTGCCCAAGCTCACCTGCTTCCTTCTCCTTGTAGAACCGTCTTTCAATAAGGACCAACATCTGTTCACCCACATCAACTCCACCCATGCCAGGCTGAGCCTGCAAGGCTGGAACAATGGGGGCTGCCCCATTGTAGCCATCATCCTGGAGTTCCGGCCCAAAAGCACCTGGGCTTGGCAGAGCCTGCGAGCCAATTATTCCAGTGAAGTCTTTCTGACTGACCTGCACGAAGCCACTTGGTATGAGCTGCGCATGAAAGTATGCAACAGTGCCGGCTGTGGCAATGAGACCCTGCAGTTTGCCACCCTGGACTACGATGGCAGTGAGTGTGGATTGGCTGGGGGAGTTTAGAAGCCCCCGTTCCCTGTGGGTCGGGCTTTTTCAGGGGGTGCACAGATTGTACTTTGATGCTTCTTCTGCACAGGCACTATTCCGCCTATTAAGTCTGCACAAGGAGAAGGAGATGATGTCAAGAAGCTTTTCACCATCGCTTGCCCTGTCATCTTGGCCACACTTGGTGTGGCGTTGCTCTTTGTCGTTCGAAAGAAGCGGAAGGAAAAACGTCTGAAGCGTTTGCGAGGTGAATGTTTGGTTCTTGGGAATCCCTTTTCAACAGCCAGGAGAGAAACCCCAGGGCCAGATGAGCCTGAGCAGGTATCAATCTGGCTTTCCCCTCTAGAGGATTCGATCCCTGCAGCTGCCTATGTAGGTGGGGCTGGTGGGAGAAAGGTGGGTGCTGCAGGATAGGACCCTCATTAGAGCTGGCGGTACAGATAGTCCTTGACTTACAACCACAGTTGCGACTTGACTTGAAAATTCATAGTTAAGGGGCGCAGACTTTAAGTGAGGCCTGACAGGACAATTACAGTCTCTTTTGCTGCAATCGTTACTTGAACATCATGTGATCATGATTTGCAACCTTCCCTACCAGCTTCCCCATTGACTTTGCTTGTCAGAAGCTGGTTGGGAAGGACACCAATGGTGGGTGCGGGAGCTGCAACTGTCAGTTGCCAAGCACCCAAATTGCATTCAGGTGACTGTAAAGAGGCTGCGACAATCGTAAGTACAAGTGCTGGTCATAAGTCACTTTTTCAGTGCTGTCGTCACTAAAGGAACACTGGTAAGTCGAGGGCTACCTGCATAGGCATGCACCCCTCTTTGTTCTTTCCTTTAGCCTTAGCTCCCCATAGAGAGGGAGAGCTAAGAGCACCCACGGTGACCTCGTGGCCTGATTCAAGCTGCACAAGAGCAGCCGGGGCAGAGGGCTGTTGCTTCTGCTGCCCCCATTCAGGCCTCTCTGCTCTTTCCCTTGCAGATGCCAAGAGTTTGGCTGAAATGCTTATCAGGTAGGTAACCACATTCAAATCTTGTTGGTTAGCATTTCAATGCAGAGTGGATACAGACGACCTCCAGTCCCAATTGTCTCCTTCTCCTTTGCAGTAAGAATAATCGTAGCTTTGACACGCCTGTGAAGGGTCCTCCCCAAGGCCCTCGGCTGCACATCGACATCCCCCGGGTTCAGCTGCTCATCGAGGACAAGGAGGGGATCAAGCAGATTGGTGAGCGGCTTTGCTTCACCTCCCAGTTTAGGGGCCTGGCCTTATCCCCAGAGCTGCCTCCTTTGCATTTCGCCCTCGTCCAATTACTCTCCCTGGCTCTGGGAATGGGGTCGCTTTTCGTGCAGATGTGACTGCAGTCCTAGGTGGAGTCAGGGTTCTCTCCTTCCCAGATCAACTGGGTTGAATAGTGTTTTGAGACTCCTGGCAAGCATTTTGGGTGTGGCCAAATGCGGGTGCCGGTCTTCCTCTCTACCCCCAATGAGGCTCTAAGAACATAAAGGGACACACTCCAACTCTGTGGACTTCTGTCGAGATGGGGGTTATTGCTTCTTAGCCATACCAGGGTGGGATGTCATTATCCAAATTTATTTCCCATAGGAGATGACAAAGCAACAGTCCCAGTCTCTGACCCAGAATTCAACCAGACTGTCAATCCACAAACCTTCTGCACAGGGGTGTCACTACACCATCCAGCACTGATCCAGAACACGGGGCCTTTGATTGATATGTCTGACATCCGCCCTGGCACAAGTAAGCACTGCAGACAATCCTCCACTCTGGCCCCAGCAGGAAAAAGATCAGAGGTCTTCGCTCAAGCAGAGACACTTTAAAGCAAATGCCTCTGAAGGCAGACGATCAGTAGGCATGGAGGGAGGGAAGAGGTCTCTGGGGGACCCTTGGCCCTACTTGTAGCCAAATTCTCTGACTCTACTAAAGTTTCATTTCTCACAGTAACCAGCTCTGGTAAGAGGCTTTGAATCGTGTGACTATGTTAACCTAAACTGACAGTACTGGAACGGTGAGGTTGTGAGAACTTGACCATTTATGCCCTTTATCTGCTTTTAGTGATTTCAGGTCTTGCCTCCCCAAAGTTTAAAGGGATCTAATGAACACTGGTCTGTCTGGCCCTTCTCTGCCCTCTGATGGTTCTATCTGACCTACATGCCAGGGCCTGTTTTATCTCCTGTGTGCCTTGCTCAAGCCCACAGGTAGCACTCCAGTCAGCCCCATAGCTGCCCCACTCTTCCCTGACTGGTTCATCTCCTCCAGCTGCTCAGCACTTTCCTATCCCCCGTCTTGTCCTCACGCACCAATGGTTTTGTGTTTGGTTTGCTGCCTCTGGCCAGAGAATGGGCCTTCTAGATCCAGGCCTGGTCCGTGTTTTGATCTGTGTCATGTTCCATCTCATACACTGCACATGACATATTCAGTACATGGAATGCTGCATACATCCCATGACTATATTCAAAGAGGGGGAGAGAGAGAATGATCTGCAAGTACAAAAAAACATTTTAGATACAAGGCATCGCCGATGTAAAAATGAAACGGTCGGTGAGAAACTACTACAGCAACTACATGAGGCAGATTTCAGCCCAGTCTCATAAGGTCCAATCTACACAGTTCTTATTTCTCCTTCCAAAGGCAGAACGGCAGCCATTTTCTTTTGCAGATCCTGTTTCAAGGAAAAGTGTGAAATCTACACACAGTACCCGGAACAGATACTCCAGCCAGTGGACTCTCACCAAGTGCCAGGCCTCCACGCCAGCACGGACTCTGGCCTCTGACTGGAGAGCAGTTGGCTCCCAGCATGGCATCACAGTGACTGAAAGTGACAGTTTCAGTGCTAGTTTGTCCCAGGACACAGGTGAGTTGAGTTATAGCCACAAAGCACAGCCTTCCAAATCCAGCTGCAGTTTGTTGTGCCCGGCCACCCCAGAACTTCCAAGAGATAAAAATTGAGGCTCACTCTTCTTTCCGCATATTTTGCGGAGGTTTTATTTGCTTATTTTAATTTATATGCATACAGAGAAACTAGATTCTTATTTAATTTAATGTGTTATTCCACAAAATAACACATTAAATTAAAAACAACAAAAATTATAACATAAACCAGGCTAATTCTACTAATAGCTACTACCCCCTTTCATGCATCATCACACCAAGGAATGTCACTCACAACTTCTATTATACATCAAAGACTTGACAAAATAGTCAGATCTAAGTAGCTCTTCTGAACACCAGCAGCTTGTTCACATCTGAATTCAGGTGCAGGACCAGGAGAGGGGCAGCATGGTGCCTTATTGTGGGGTTGAAAGGGTATCCTTCCTTTTGGAGCTTAGTGAACAGATAGAAGCTTCTGGGAGAGCTCATTGCAGGAGTTAAATCAAGAGGTGATGAAGAAATAAGTAGCTGTGAACAGATAACTTCTTATCCAGAAAGTGTTGTTACTAACATACAAAATGGAGTTGCACAAAAACTTTCCTAGCCACAGCTGCCTTCTACCCCTTGAGCAGATGTTGCAAATCCAAGAGGATCTCTTTATTTCTGAAGCATTTGGGGCTTAGGGAGCATGACCCTGTCCAGAAGAAAAGATGGGATACCACTGGCTTCCAATGTCGCATCCACTCATTTCTTATCAGGATTGAACTTGAGTTTGTTTGTTCCTGCCCAGATCTTCAAAGATTCTGAGATAATATCTCCACCATGTCTCTTCTTTGGCTCCAGAGTTAGGAAGTGCAGGAACTGACTTCATGCATTCCCAGCTGTTTCAGCTTAGCAAAGGAGAGTGGGAGAGCAATCAACTGGCTTGCAGGTTGTCCTGGCAGGGTTTGCATTGTCTCCCTCTTGTTTCCACAGACAAAGGCCGAAACAGCATGGTGTCCACAGAGAGTGCCTCATCCACTTATGAAGAGTTGGCTCGGGCTTATGAGCATGCCAAGTTAGAGGAGCAGCTGCAGCATGCCAAGTTTGAAATCACAGAGTGCTTCATTTCTGACAGCTCCTCTGACCAGATGACCACTGGCACCAATGAGAATGCTGACAGCATGACTTCCATGAGCACTCCCTCTGAGCCAGGCATCTGCCGCTTCACAGCCTCTCCTCCCAAACCACAAGACAGTGACCGCGGCAAGGGTGTAGCTGTGCCTATCCCTCATCGAGCAAATAAAAGTGAGCTATGATGCAGCTGCTGCCTTTTGGTGCCCCAAATGAAGAGCTCAGCCCCAAATAGCGACAGCATTTAGGCTTGTATACTGCCCCGTAACACTTTACAGCACACTCTGGGTAGTTTACAATGTCAGCATACTGCCCCCAACAATCTGGATCCTCATTTTACTGACCTTGGAAGGATGGAAGGCTGAGTCAACCTTGAGCCAGTCAGGATCGAACTCCAGGCTGTGGGCAAAGTCTGCCTCCAATGCTGCACTTTAGCCACTGTGCCACTAGCAGCTCTTGATTGCAGCTCTTCATGAGGCAGCTCAGGACAGTCTTCCCATAAAGTGTTTGAATGAGCTTGGATAGTGGAATGGGAGGCACTCTGTGCAGGGAAGAGCAACCAACCTTCAAGCTAGGTAGTCAGAGCCAGTCTGAGAGCTTTAGAAATGGGGATGGTAATGCTTGCTCCAGAGAGCTGGGGGTCTGAAGGGGATGTGGGGAGGGAGTGCTGATGCTTTCCAGTCGCAGAGTGGCTGGATCTTTAGACTTCTTTCACCTGCTTTGCCTTTTCCCTGAAGGAGTTGCTTGTTTTCAGTGGACTGGCTGAATTTTTTCTCTGGTCCTGTTGCATCCCATTTATACTTGAGTAACCTTGGGGCTCCTCCTGGCCCCACCTCTGCTCACCCTTTTTCTACCTTTTACAGGTGACTACTGCAACCTGCCTTTGTATATGAAATCTGAAACGTTCTTCCGCAAGCCAGACCTTCAAGACCCTTGTCCTGTAGTGCCACCCCGGGAAGCCTCCATACGAAATCTGGCTCGGACCTATCACACACAAGCCAGACACTTGACTTTAGATGCCAGCAGCAAAGCCTCGGCTGCACCACACACAACTGCAGCCACCACCTTACCTCAGAGAACTCTTGCCATGCCAGGCTCAGCCAGTGGTGCCCCTCCTGCTGCTCCCACTGTTGCTCCTGCCCCGGTCCCTGAACCTAGCCCGGGTCCTACTGCTGAGCCACGCTTGCCTACGCATAGCAAAATTGGGGGGTCCAAAGACTCACTATTAGAAATGAGCACATCTGGCGTGGGGAGGCCACAGAAGCAGGGAACTGGTGCCTACTCCAAATCCTATACGCTGGTCTAGAGTGGGTAGGAAGGACAGATGTGGCTCTTTCTCCAAGTCATTTATACTGGAATTAAGTGGAGCTCTTGTACAGAATGGATTTTTTGTTTTTGTATAAATGAAACTATTTTTCTCTTCTCCAGAACTGGGGGGGAAGTCACGAGGGCTCCGAGCATTTGCAGGAATTTCTTTTATGGAAGAAGCCCTGCTCTCCTTTTAGTGTTGCGGAAGAGGGTGCTGAATTCTGCTGGGCACGCGCTCTTTCTCATCCTCCCATCGCCCTCATCACGCAGACTTTTTTTTTTTAAAAGACCCCTTTGGGATACTGCATGTTGTTTTTCTGTTTGGTAAACTATGGGATTTGCTTCCAGTTGCATCTGCCTAATACTTTTTTCTATTTTAAAAAAAAGCCAGCGCAGTGTGCAATAAAAGTTATGTTTCTATAACACGAGAATCCTTTGTTTGGTATAGGCTGATCTCCAAGAACAAACAGGAAGCTGTGATGCAGACGGCAGAGGCAGCTTTGAAAGAATAAATTCTGGAGTCCTATTTCAGAGCCCTTGCAATTCACATCCTCTGTTTTAACATGAATGAAACTATTCTAGGAAATGTCAGATATTAAGCAGATCATTATTTTTTATATACATCTCTTAGACACCACAGCTATTTAAAAGCTGTAATGTCTAATAAAACCTTTTAAAGTGCCATTTTCCTTTCCTTAGCACAGCCAATAAAATAGGAATTGTCAGACAGGGAGAGACAGTAGGCCACAATTTTTTTCTTACCAGCAAACAAAGCTTCCAGTTGTTAGAACCCTTCAAATGGTTTTAGTAGGGCAGGTTCAGGAACTTGCATCAGTTCCCCTGGTTGGCAAGGAGAGTTTCAGACCGGGCAATGCTCCACCTTGCCTAGCAGAGGGCAGCAAGTCCATCGCTAGAGAATTCGTTTTCCCTCCTGGGTGGCCTTTGTCTGAGCAAGTGAACTGTTTACTGCAGGTGCCACGAGTAAAGACAAATGCGGCAGCCGGCTGGATCGGATAGCTGCTTGGCAAACCTAGCAGCTCAGGAAGGAAGCCCTCCCCCCTCAGTAGGGATGGACCATCCGAGCACACCAAGGCATCTTCCTCTCAGCAGCATGGGAGCCAGTGTTGGATGGGCAGCCATGACCAAAGCGCCCTTACTACCACTTCTCTCTCTCTATTCATTTCGTAGTTGATTATGGTGAGGAAGCAAGAATAGCAGCGGCAAAAGATGTTTTGTTCAGGACATGTCTTGGAATGACTCCAAGGAATTTTCTGCCATGCTAGGGCAGAGGACCAGATAAGCAGAGTGACCGGGGGGGTGGGGTGATGCAATCCCTGGAACAGCATTGGCCGAAAGGAGGTGGCCCTAGGAAATGCTGGCAAGTAAACTTGGGAACTGATAGAGGAGGACAAGGAACTGGTTATCCCAAGCTTTCTTTCCAAACAAATCCAGCAAGCAACATTATTAGAAAGCCCACACTGATCAGCTGGAGGAGGGCAATGATTCTCAAAAGGGAAGGGCAAAGGTCCCAGGGTGATTTGCTAAACCCGCTGCACATCGAGACTATTCCTGCAGCTGTGGCTTGTAAGGGGTAACTGACATGTTCCTCCTATGTGAATTCAATTAATCCATTTACAGGGATTTTAGCCTTAACAGCTTTTGGCCTTTACCATGGGTTAAGGATAGGACATGTGAAATTATCACAGAATCACCTTGTGGCCCCAAGTGTCCTAACTAAAAGTTTTTAAGTAAACTTGGAAGTTGGTAATGTGGGCTGACAGACAGGATACATGTATAACACAGATGCTGCATTATGGCAAGGTAGCTGCCCCCAAGATGCTTTGGTGTTAATGCTCCATAACCATAAGGCACTCCCGTAGATAGATATATGGATGCCATGGCCCCTGGCTGAGACTTCTGGCTTCAGTTCCTGGCAGATCTTACAGCTCTAAGAATTGAGATAGTTCTCCTTCCTCAATCCCCTTTACTAACCCCCATGGATATTTCCATACTTGAAAGACTCGTGTCCAAAGGAAATGTACTCCCCGACTTTGAGGCCGAGTCACAAGAATGAGGGGACGTGAACTAGACAAGGCAATGACATTTCCTAGAACATGCTGTGGCCAAGGTGGGAATACAGTAAGAAAGTGGTAGCACACAGGCAGTAATTATCAACATGAGACCAACTTGCGCAATTCATCAATATTTACATTGCAAAGGTGTCCAAAGGACTGTAACATTTCCAAACACAGCGCTAGGAGTTTCAGGACAGGCAAAGAAATGCTGCCCCTAACACGCAGGCAGCAATGCTGGCCTAAAGCAATCGGTGACACTGAAGAGGAGCCTTGAAGTGGCTTGTCCATGTGTTCCTTTTTGACATGACAAGCAGCAGCCTCAGGATAAGAGACTGGCACCACATGCCAACTTAGCCAATTAAATGGCCACACTGGAAGCTGCCACCATGCAAGACATGGTGGTAACCTTCTAAGCAGAGGGCTGGGCTGGGAAACAAGCTGGTGGCATGTCAGTACAAAGACCTGAAGACTGGCATAGCAATTCAAAGTCCATAGCCTCCCAGCCCATCAGCCGCTTGTATTGCTGAGATGTAACATACAATGCTGTACAACTTTGTGCAAATGTCTCAAGAGTGATCTACTTCCTGAGAAGGGAGGTGGGTATTGAGTCCTTTGCCCTCTAATGTCGCACAGCTAATTCCATCATTCCCTAACAAGAGGATGCAAGCGAACTCTCTCCTCCTCCCTCTGCTTCTGATCAAAGGGACGGATTTACCAGAATGCTCCCAGCATGGGATGGAACTTTACGGCCAGCCTTCAGCAGAGACTGGGCCGCCTGATGCTAGCAGCGCTCACTGAACGGCCTGCCTCCCTCCCGTTTCGGAACCTCTCATCTTCATTCATGATGCCGAGGGAGGTCACCTTCCAATGGTGCCCACCAGGGAGAGGGAAAGGGGAGGGCAAGGATTAGGCATGGAGCAGAAGGCACAGGACTTCTGCTCAGCATAGAATCTCTGGAAAGCCCACTACCATTTACATTCCGATTACAAAAGGCCACCAGAAAAATCTGGCTGAAGCTGATCTGCTGGGTATCCAAAGAGAGACACACTTTTCTCCTAGCAATCTCCATGATTGCCTCTGCCTTGATTAAAGAATAGAGCAACTCACAAAATAATCTTGGGACCAGATGAAGCGATGCAAATGTGAGCCATTTTAGAATCTGTCTGTAAAAAAAATCTTCTTGACTGCAGCAGGGAAAAAGCAACAAAGCCGTGAAAGATGTAGAAAAGAATACATTTAATCAGAATTTAAAAATACAGTTAATAGCTGAAGGATGCACACCACCAGTCCTCTGCTATAATATGCATTTCATTTATTGGAAGGCCAGTAAAACAAGTCCTTCCAGTCCTGGTATAAACAAGGACAGGAGAAAAGCTGCTGTGGACCACCCAGAGGGAGAGATCTGCCCCACAACAGAGAGGCCTGAGGCCACTTGTAGCACCAGCCCTTGGGGAGGATGGTTTCTGCTGTCTGTTTAGACACATGTTGATCATTGTTTGAAAAGCAACCCGAGATCAGCGGTCCACTTGAAAACAGAGGTGGGGGAGGGGAGGTTGTTGAAAAATTTAGCTTTCTTCTGGCGGCTTAATCAAAGGATATACCAACCACTTGCAAGGAAGAGTACATTGGGCCATTGCCTGATCTAATTTACCCCAAATCTCTGTTTACCTTCTGGTGTTGCTGGGAGCACCAAAGAATCTGCCTAGTGAGTGCCATGGATACGGCGCCAGTGCTCCAGACAGCATACCAGCAGGTTGGGTACACGAGCCCTTAGGAAAAACAGAAACCAGGAGTAGAAATGAACTCCCAGAATCCAGAAGCACCTGGGGAATTGGACCTGCTCATGACCTGCTTCGGCCTCTGCAAAGACTGATTTTGTAGTTCATATTCCCAGTTGCTGCGGGAGCAGAAGCACGCTGCCAGCCCCTTCAGCAGTCGTACCTGAATAGTGGGTTCTGAGGTGCGAACGGTGACAGTGGAAAGAGGAAGCTGAGCAATAGAGAAGACGCTGGCCCCTCAAGCCCCTGTGTTTCAGATGGGCCCTTTCTTTCTCTGGCTTCCTAAGTATGGACAGGTAACCTATCAGCCACCTTTCTCCATTCAGCACACACGTCTTTCTCTTTCACATTTATGACGTTTCCCTGGGATGGAAAATCTACAAAAAGGCTTTAATTGATTTCCCAAGAGAAATATGGCTAAGAATCAATCTCTGCAGCCCAAGAAAACATGTGGAGGCTGTTGGGTACAGAGATAATAATATCATATATTGATGTTAGACAGGTAGCCAGGCTTTTTGCAGACAAGCAGGATTTTTGTCCATCTAGAAGTGGTAGACCTTGATCTGATTGTTCTCATCCAGCCCAAGCTGCACCAAACCGGAGCCACTGCTGGAAGAATGCGAAGGACTCGGCAAGAGAGCTCTGGCAACATGAGTGAAGGAAAAACAGAAGGACATGGCGACAGAAACTAGAAAGGCGCGAATGGGCGGAAGCACTCTGGCCACAGCCAGGCCTAGAAGAGAACTCCCCTAGAAATGATTTTTTTAAAAAAAAAAAACACTGGGTTTTCTATTGCCATGCAGCTGGTCACAGACCAAATTGGAGGGATACGTTTCATTAGGAGGATTCAGAGAATCAAGATTCATCTGATTCTCCACCCCCCAAAAAAAATCAGGATTTACCTGAAACAAAAAAGGATCACTAAATCACTCAGAAGCAAATCCCTCCTAACAACTCAGGAGAAACTCCGAAAGAACTATGATCTTGCAAAAGAATGTAGAATAGAGTTCTCCCACTCATGCTACCTGCCCTATTAGTAAATCAGCATGGCCAAAAACAAAAACAAAACAAACAAACCACAAAGCAAAACCAGAAAATGAGGGTTCTGGAATGGCCAAGTCAAAGCTCAGATTTAAATCCAATTGAGATGCTGTGGGTGATTTAAAGCAAGCTGTGCATGGCATGAAACCCCTCGAGCATCACACAGCTGAGCAAATTCTGCATGGAGATGCGGAGAAAAATTCCTCCTAGTAAAAGCCAGAGACTGGTAGACAGTTATAAAAAATGTCTACTTGAGGTGGTTTCTGCCAAGTGGAGAAATACCCATTATTAGAGCCAAGGATGCACTTCCCATTTCCACTGAAGAAAATCTGTTAATTTTTGGATGAATAACTGTTTGCAAAGTCAAATTTACATTGTTTCTTTGTTCAACTACATCATCTTTAACCTTTATATATTGTTGGAGTCAAGATAATGTATTGATAAAGTCCACATATGTAAAAAAAAAATTACAAGGGGTGTACTTACTTTTGCACATGGGAAATTTGCAATTATATTTATTTAAATTACAGAATGGATGACAAAATGTAACTGATGCATGTATATTATATCCTCTTTATCAATATTGTAGATCAAATATCTATAGGTTGAAGTATGTTGAAAAAGTCAAAACTTTCAGTGGGGTGTTTTTCTTACTTTTTCACATAACTTACAAGGCTGTGAGAGAAGGGAAGGATGCACAGCTTTGTTTTCTGCAGCTTAATGAGAAGCTTGATGAACAAATCTGATTGAAAACGAAAAGGGCAAGAAACAATCTACCTGCCAGGCCAAGCCCACAGCTGGATTCTAAACTCCTCTCCTGCCTCCATGGATACAAACTGTAATGCAGATTAGTTTTATTGCACTTGGCCAGTATAGACACAGCTTATTATTTTCAGCATCTCTCGATCTCGATGCCTTTTTGGGAACTGGCTGCAGTGGGAGATATCAGTTAGCAGCTACGGGGCTTAGACAGGACAAAAGGATACCCTTTGCAATCATGCTTGAAACCCTCCAGCCATTTCTTATTGGCATCAATCATGCGCTGGGTGTTTGACTTCTCAGCCTTGGAGCCCTGAAAGTGAGGGGGCTGGAACAGGCAGACTTGCTCGCTGTTGGGAAGCAGGAGGTGGGGAGAATCAACCAGGAAAAGTGGTCAAGCAGCAGACAAATTGGTTGCGTTCAAGCAGCGACCTTAATCAGGTTGGGTGAAGACCCAGGAGACCCATGGAGGCCTGTGGGGAAGGTTTTTGCTCTTCTGAGAGCACTGTTGATATCAGAACAGGCTTAATTCTCTCTAATATCTTGCTGGCTTCCTCAGATCTGAGGAGGACATCCCTTCTCTCTCCTGAGCTAGAGGAGGAGAACATTTTTCAAGTTGCAAAATGGCTACTCTAAAACACTCCCTAGGAGACAGATCTTGTTTTATGCTAGCTGACATAGTCAATGCTGTAAGGCAAAACACAATGATCTCAACTGACATATCAGCTTGGGTGCGAGAAGATTCCTTACCCAGTTATTAAGGAGTCCAGCTTTTCATCTTGAACACCGAGCCCACCACATGGCAATGGAAACTTCCCTGAACAGAAAAGACTACATTTACCAAATAACAAAGAGCTTTCCATTATTAGAATCATTCAGAATCTAAAGGCAAGTTGTATTTTTCATTCAGACATCAATCCATTCCAAGAGCTTTGGATTTTTCAAGTTTCTAATAAATCATATTACTTATTTGAAATCTAGTCTCCAAAAGCTGGGTAGATTTCTTTAAATGCTTCCATCCCCCAACTCCATGTTTGGAAAACCAAATTAATTTTGGTTCAGACACTGGGTGTTCTTCAAAGATCTTTTAGGAAAGATCTTTTCAATAACTAAAAGGTTTTCTTTACTACTATTACATCATAGAGCTCAACTCAGTCCTCATTCTTAAACTTAGATCAGTCGTCGATCAGGAAAGGAATTGGATTGCCGACTAGTGAATAAATAGAACACACTTTATAGGTAAATAAATTCTCAGCTTTTTCACATAGGAGAAACCATTCTGCAACAGGTTCAACCCACCCGCCCAACCAACCTATATATAAAATCTGTACTAAATAAGAGCATCAGCAACTGTGAGCTTGCTGTTTCGCACACCTTTTGAAGAAAAGGATTCTACACCATGGACCAAAGATAACTGAGTCTTAAACGCCTCTCACTTGTAGATCTTACGTTAGTCCTTGAAGATGATTTTATTGAAGATGATTTTATTTCTGCTCTTGCCCCATTGATGATTAAAAGCAAAGATGGTCATCTGTAAAGAAAATTCCCCATGTACCAGGCTCCAAATAAAACCTACTACTGGGAACACGATCTTTACAAAATGCTCAGAATGCTGTTGGGATAGAAAACGAAAGCACCCAAAGGAGAAAACCTCAGGCATCCGCTTTGAAAGGAAGTCTCAAACAAGACAAACAGCTCCTAGCACAGCTGCAAATTATGGTGTCACACGGACTCTCAATAATCCAAATCCTACTTCTGGAATCTACCAATCATGCCTCATCTTTGGTGAGGGAAAGGGGGAAAGAAGGGAGAAGAAACAAGCTCTGCTGGTCCTTTCAGCTGAAACACTGAGCCCTTCAACCAGGATTAGAGTTCAAATTGGCATCAAAGAATCGTGGCAAGAATCCACTCTCACCTGGGAAATACTTGTGCCATTTCTCCATCAGCAGACTGTCCACAGACTGTCTGCTCACAGCAGCAGAACTGGGACCTGAGTTACACCAGGCTGACTGAAGTCCAGTGGAAGGTGCAAATGGTGTGGCCGAATAGGCACATGCCAGGGAGGTATATGCAGTCAGAGGAATTCCATCCCTGGCCAGTGGAGTCAGTCGGCCTTGGGTGGAAGTTAAGAGAGACTGCTGGCTGTTGAAGGTACTCAGGAGATGAAGGACACAGTTCAGGTCACTGGTGATGCGCTGTAGTGACTCAGTCAAATACTGGATCTTGTCAAAGGGGGAAAACTGGACATCTGGTTTCAAGTCAGCTGCTGTGAAGGGGAGGGGATTATTACTGGACAAAGAATACAGAGGTAATAAAACTCCAAACCCAGAAAAATAAAATCCAGCCACAATTTGGAATTAAAAGCTTCCTGTATGGAGGGGGGCAGAGAGAGGGCAGTAGCTTTCTAGAAGATAAAAGTTAGCTATTCAGACCAATTTAATCCAGCTATTCATCCACTCCGGGAAACTAGAGGAAAAAAGACCCTGTCAAAATCATCAAGGAAAAACAGGGCTGCTGGTGGGAGTTTATGGGGGGAGTCTCTCCTGGCAACTCTAAGGGAGATGACAAATAAATCTGGACTTCTACGGCAGGGTTTCCCAGTTAAGGTTAGGAAGGTACAGAGAGAGACAGTCCAGGGAGAGGTGAAGAACCTTTCAGTTGCATTATTATGATAGATCCACCTTTCCCAAAGTCTCACTGTATTGTTTTCATTGTTCATTTGTGTTCATTTTGGATTTTTAAGGGAGTTATGTACGTTAAGATTGCAGTAAAGGGGTGTGTGAAAGTTTAGGAATGTATTCTATAGCAACACTTGTGTTAGGAAACACAAATCCTGACACATGCCACGTCTTTTTGGCAAGTAGGAAAAGTGGAACTATGGGTACAGTGTGTCCCTTCTGCAGCCCAAATGCTTTCCAGATGTGTGGCCAGAATTCTCAGCAGCTGCAGATTAGCTGAGCATGAATGGGAATGAAAGGGTATCCACCTGGAAGGTAACCAGGTTCACAAAAATGAGTGTAAATCACAGATTGTAGGTTGTAGGATGCTGGTCTTAGCATTCTTCCAAACACTTACTCTTGTGAGGAGACCGATCAGCACTCATAAGGCTACTTGTGTCTTCAGAGTCACTGAGGTCAAAAGTCACCATTTTCTTGCAGGCCACTCCCTTGATTGTATCTTCATCAGAAAACTAGTAAAGAAGAAGTGGTTTTCCTTGCTGTTGTGTCTCAACAACTCGGGATAAAAAACAACAGCCACTCATCACCAGACAGGGCCAGCTTGCTTAGTTTCTTTGACTAGGCCAAAATCGGGAGTCGAGCCAGGTGTTCGCAATTAGCATGATCCCCAATTGGGTTACGGGTTACTGGCAGAGACAGTGATTGAAGCACCCAGGCCACCTTGTTCAGCACCATCTTATAAAAGCACATCCCATAGTTAGATCTCAATCAATTTTGGATAGGCAAAATGACAAGTAGATGCCCTGGCTGATTACATGACAACAACAATTAAAATGGGACCTCCCCACACCCTGGGATGTGGTAAATAAGAGAGGGACGAAAGCTGCTCTGACAGTTCAGAGGCTTTTCCCCGCTACTCCTTCCCGCAAGGATAAGCAGCTGCAATGGCATTGAGGAAGACTTGGGGTGCTTCCTGGCTGGCTCCAACAGAGCTACCTCTTCCAGAAGAGAGGTCTCCAGCTGGCTGAGCCTCTCTTCTTTCTTCTTCAGGAGTTCCTGCCCTTTCCGCATGGCAGATTTCATTTTATCTAGCTGCCTCCCTTCCTAGGGGGAAAGAAAGTCATATTGCAGTAACACAAGCCAACAAACGAGGAACTTTTGTTAGGACCGATTTAAATGTGTGCTGCCACTGTTATCCAATGTTAAAGTCCTCTTAATAACAGTGTCTTCTCATCTGTGAGCTGCTGCTTGCAGGGATGCAAGCGTTGTGGGAGAGGAAGGGGCCACTTGCTCAATCCTCTCCCCCCCCAAGTGGTTTGCAGTGTGACTCATTGCAAAGGCAGAAGGGGCAGCCCTTCCTCACTGCACGGCCACTTGTCCAGCTGCCAAACTGCAGCAAGGCACAGTCCAAAGCAAGCCAGGTGATTTCCCCTTTGATGGTATTCTCAACCCCAAAGGAAGCTTTCTACTGCTATCTGCCCCTTCCCCCTCTTTCTCAATCCCTTTTTCTGCAGGCACCAAATAAAGTTAGCATCGCCTGGGTGAGTTGTTCTAAAATTCAGCCCAGGCTGATGGTTTCAAGAACCGCCTTGCTTTGTCTAACTCACCACTCACCTCTTCCAGGTTCCTGTGCACTCCCTGTAACACCTGGGAATGGACTGAGTCTTGCACAGCTGGTGTTCCCTGGAGACCACCATACCAATGCTGCTTTGCTGCTCTCAAGGCCGTCTGCCTTTTTCTCATGGAACGAGTCTGGCACACCAAGAATTCCTTTGCTGTCTTCAGGGAGGCTCCCTCAGTGGAAATGTAGTGTCGTACTCTGTAAGAACAGGAAGGAAAAAAAAATCTGAGCAAGATTTGCTGCTTAAAAGAGGCCTAATAGCCGCTCCCCTCTCTCCTGTCCCTATAGTCACAGATACCACAAGTATAGTTATTTCAGGGTATCTTTTCCCACCCTCCCCAACACACACTCACTGGTTCAGGAGAAGGCCGTTTTCTTCATTGCTTTTTGGTATTTCAGATGTCATTTCTCTGGAGGAAGGCTTAAGGATTAAACCATTTTTAAAGTTAAGTAACAGGCAAATGAAGCGGAAACATCAAGAACAAATATAGGGTGTGGTTCCTTAATGGAGGGAGCTTAAGTCAAAGCAGTGGAATATTAGGTAGGCAATATTATTTCCCATCTCTTCTCAGCCAGAGGATCTTCCTCCTGCTTACATCAATATCTGGAATATCTGATCCATATGGAATCAGACAGACAGTGATTTGTCTCTTCCAGATGGTAGCAGTTTTCGGCAGCAGGGGGTTGGTTTTCACAGTTCCACGACCAAAGAGCCAAGGGGGAATCCCACGCATTTTCAATAAAGCGTGCTTTTTTAGGTACCGGTACTCCAGTCCCCGCAAACCAGGCCTTTCCCAAATTTTGGCCTCCCCAGACCTCTCTTCTCCAGCCCCAGAAGTCCATTTTCGTAAGATATACCCTGCAGTTCAAGCCATATTTGAACCACTCCCCTTCCCACCCACCCCTCTTTCAAGAAGGTGGAGGAACTGACTGTGGGAATCTCTTCTCCAGTGTAGCGACTGGTTAGGGTGGCATCCCTCACAAAAGGTTTTGTCTTTCCCATTCCTCACCATCCCTTCAATATTAGCCTTTTATAGGCAGAATTGTAAAAATCCATGCACGTTGAAGGCATTTAATAAGAATGCTGCCAAGAAACTATTAGAATGACATGCTACAATATATATTGCTTTTCTTGAGCTATATTCTCACTGTAAAGTCCAGGCTGATCTATGTCACTAAAAGTTCATTTTATGGAGCAGAATGTTCCCCTTCTGTCTGGTTCCCTTCACCTCTGACCCTGTTTCCACTGACCTCTGGATAGTCCCCTTGTAGGTCTTCCACTCGGAGCGCTTCTTCCTTTTCCCTTGGAGAAGTTGCCTCACTCCATTCTTTATCCAGTTTCTTTAGCAGCTCTTGCTTGGTCCTGATGGTCTTCTGCAAGTCACTGAAAGTGCCAAGGAAAAAGTCAGATGCCACCCAGGATCTACCTCTGAACTTCTGGCCCTCTCTTTTGGGTAGTGGCCAATTCTTGTTCAACATTTGGAAAGTGAAAGTTGAGAAACATTGCTGAATTCAAAGCATGGTGGCACATGGGCCTGAAACACAGTGGACACCTCCAGGTCAGATTCTCCACCAGTCACTGGCATAGCTCTATATGTACGTGTCACATGGCTTATTACTGCATAATGCCTGGTCCATTCCTGCTTGTCTAATGAAGAACATCTCACCTGGTACACCTCTCAAGCTGCTGGCCCTGTATCTGAAGCAATTCCACCTGAGACTCCAACTTTATTTTCTGATCCTGGAGTTCCGCCAGAGCTCTGTGCAGCTGCTGTAAGGTATCTTCAAGATTCTCCTGTGCTTTTTGACACTCCTCAAGGCGGGAATGAGCTGCCAAAGCAGCTTCCTGAAAAAAAATAAGGGGGGGGGGGAGAGGGAGAGTCTAGCAGATACAACTTTAAATATCCAGTTGACCTGCAAAGCTTTTTGGTAAGGTTAGTGCATCCTTGGCCACAGAGGATACTTGGCAAATACTCAACTGCAGCAGTGCAAAAGGGCAACTAATCCTGCCAGCTTGTTTCGATTCTATACCACTGCCTTCCCACTCACGTCTAGAGAAACAGCCCCAGATTGTGTGAGTTGTATGCTAACTCGCTCCAGGCCAAAAATCCGCTGACTTCTCTGGGCAAAAGCTCTTGCCTGCAACTTTAGAAAACGACTACTAGAGAAGACTCTAATGCTAGTTGGAGAACAACAGCATCTCCTAATTATCAATCAAGGTAGCCCTCAGGTAAAGAAGACCGGCTTAGAGTCAAGAGACGGAAACCTGTACCTAGAACTGTGCTGCTTCTGCCTCCCTATCGCCTCCCTCCCTTTGGCCATTTGCATCAACTGCAGGGCGAGACTTCCCTTATCTCGTCCTATGGAAAAAGAGATTCCTAGCTCATTGCAAGAGCTGTCAGTGCATACATTTCTTTCTTCTTCCAGCTGCTTCTCTTCTTCTAGGACCTGCTGCCTTTTCTTCTTCCAGGCCTCCTCCTACACATAAACGAGAAATAATCTAAGTAAGCTGGGAAGACCACAAAATTCCTCCCTAGGGACAAAGGTTTATGGGGGCTAAGAAACCGGACCCGCTGCCAGCCTTACGTGTATGTTCCAGAGCACTGATTGGCTAGAAGCGCCCAGTGGTGGGATTCAAATAATTTAACAACCAGTTCTCTCTGAAATCACAGAACCCTTTAAGAGGTGCACGCGTAAAAACCAAGCTAGGGCGGGGGGGGGGAGATGCCCCATGTGCCCCGCACCTGCTTATTTCAGGGCCCCCGCACCCAGGCCACTCCTGGCTTGGTGACCTCCCCCTGCCGGTTCAATGATCCGGCTGCCCACTCGCTTCTTTCCTTTCACTCCCCTCCCGAGCCAGACTGCCATGATATGGAGGATGGACCTTACCCAGTCCCCCTCCACCGTTTTGGAGCCTGGGGGGAGTGATGGTGAAAGGCTCTGCCACCGGTGTGCAACAGCCGCATCTGCTGCTGGAGGGGCTTTCTTCAGTTCCCGCCGCCCCTGCCACCCTTGCTTTGCCCCACAGATCACCGCCACCTCCTTCTCCTCCGCCAACTCTCCCGTGGCTTGCGTCGTGACCAGGGGGCACAAGTCTCCCATGCCGGCTCCCTCTGCCACCTTGGTATCCTTCCACCAGCCTTCCATCACCGCCATCAAGCACCTGCTTGCACGAAGCAGCAGCCCATATGGGCTACCTTCTTCCCAGCCAAGAAAGAGAGAAAGGGAGAAAGGCGGCTTACAGTAGCTTCCTTCGCCTCCCCGGGTGTCCTTAAGTCTTTCTTCCTTTCTTCCTTTCTTCCTTCCTTCCTTCCTTCCTTCCTCCCTCCCTCCCTCCCTCCCTCCTTCCTTCCTTCCTTCCTTCCTTCTGCTGGTCCGCACTTACTTGCTGCCCTGCATCGACCGGCGTCACCCTTCTCTGTTCTGGAAGTGGCAGCCCCATTTTCTGCCGCTTTCTTCCCGGCAGAAGGGAGGAAAGGAAGGATGCTTCATATGGAAGGACGCTAAGCTCCGGGAAAATACTCTAGCTGGAGAAAGAAGGCCAGGCTCCCCTTCCCTGATGGCTCTGCAAAGCCCTTGACAAGCGGATCCGCTTCCCGCAGGTTCGGCCTGATTACGAAGTGTCCTTCCTTTCCTCCCTTCTGCCAGGAGGAAAGCAGCAGAAAACGGGGCTGCCACTTCCAGAATGGAGAAGGGAGACACCAGCTGATGCAGGGTGGCAAGGAAGTGTGCGCAAGAAAGTGCAATGGCAGCAACGGAGGGCTGGCAGAGGGATACCAGGGCTGGCGGAGGGAGGCGGCAGGGGAGGCTTGTGCAGATTTATCATAACCAGTTCGCTAAACTCAACAAAAAATTAGATATCAGTTCTGCCGAACTGGTGCGAACCGGCTGAATCCCACCACTCGAAGCGCCCCTTGGACAATTCAGGGCACCAAAGACTGAGTACAGCAAAACCTTATAAGGATCAAGAGCTGCTTAAGTTTCATCTCAGGCTCTATGCAGGAAATTCCACGTCAGAGCTGTGCCAATGTTCTTCCTCTAGAGGAGAGACTGATAAGCCAACAGAAAATAGTGGAAAAGGCATTCAGATGATGGAGGTTTTCCAGAAAGAAAACGTCATCTGTCGTCCCAAAAGATACCCATGTTATCTTCAGCTAAGAGTCCAAGGGGCCATGTTCTGTTCTTCACCACTGGTGTAATGAGCTACACAGTTGTGCATGTGTGTGCTCACCTGGGCAGAGAGTTGAGCTGCTTTTGTCTGGGCATCTTTAGCTTGGAGCTCCAGCTCTAGTTCTGCATCCTGGGCTGCCTTCTCCTTTAGGAAGAAAGCCATAAGAGATGCGACCTCTCTGTCAAGACCCAGACAAAGAGGACAGCCACATCACGAGGAATGAGGAAAGAAGAATGAGGTGCCAGAGCAAGGGAACCCTCCCCTTGTAGCCATGGGAAATTCAAGAGGAGGTCCAAGGAGGTGGGAGTTACAGCCAGAGAGGCACCCTCAAGCTCTTGAAGAAGCACTGCCAAGGTCTACCTCTTTTTCATGGGCAGCTGAGCCCCATGAGGTCTTGCCCTCCAAAGGCTCACCCCCTCACCATTTTCCCCACCTGCTCCTGGTGCTTCTGGCGCAGCTCCTTTAGCTTCTCCACATGTGTCTTTTGCAAAGCCTCTTGCTGGGCCTTAATGCGCCCCAGCTCCTCCTGTAGCCTTGCAAGCAGCTCGGCCTTCTGCTTCTTCTCCTGCCAGGTATAAGAGTTGACCTGACTCAACACGAGGGAGGGAAACAGTAATTCAGACTTTATCACCACCTGTCTGGACTGCTGCAATATGGTCTGCGAAGCCATTTTTGAAGACCACCAGAAGGGGCAGATGGTACAAGATATGGGAGCAGACCCAGAAGTAAGCTTGGCACCGACTAGCAGGAGGGTGTTTCCTCCAGCCCAAATTAATAGATTCTTCCTAAGAGAAATGGCTCAGATTTTCCCTTTCTAAGGAGATGCAGGGGGCTGAACCCAAAACACTAATTTTCAGTTGCAGCTCACCTGACAGCTCCCTTCAGAGGTAAATTCCTTTTCTTTAACTTTATCTATGGGGTTATCTTGATATCCTTCAAAAGCCCCATAAAACTTGGCTGTGTCAACAGGCTTAGGGAGTCTCAGGGAAATGGTGATTTAATGAAATGGCTACATTATTTGTAGTATGTAACATCTCTCCTACCTTTTTAACAATAATACATTTTTTAAAATTGTAGAATACAATTAATACAATTATTTTATGGGTTTCTTATTTGTATGCTGCCCAGGTCTTATGAGGTAGGCAGCCACAAAAATATGAAAAAATGTATGTATGTAAATATTTGTATCTTGCCTTTATTATTTTTATAAATAAATCAAGGCAGCGAACATATCCAGCACAACTTCCTCCTCCTCTTTCCCCCAAACATCAACCCTGTGAAGTGGGCTGGGCTGAGAGGGAGGAACTGGCTCAAAGCCATCCATCTGGCCTTCATGGCTAAGGTACGACCTGAACTCAAGTTTCCCACTTTCTGACCTGATGCCTTAAGCACTAGACCACTATCTATTAGCTTGCACACAGTTGATATTAACAAAAATTACTGTGGATGTCTTATGCTGAACTCTATTATTACTTAGCACAGATGTTATTTTGGATGTTCTGTTGTTAACAGCTAAGAGTCTTTAATAGAATACAGTGGCATACTTCCTCACCTCCACCGCCCTCTGGTAAGGAGCTGCAGGATTTGATGTCTGTAACTATTAAGCAAATGACTGAGATGTTTCAAGAAATGGATGTTAAAATGCAAAATAGATTCGATGAAGTAATACAGCAACAAGATTTATCGCAGAAACATGAGGGTTTTTGCATGAACGTGACAACTGCTTTTCAAGGTCTGGCTGAATATGTGGACGCGGTGGCAGAAAGGGTTGAGGAGAATGAACAGAGAGCAGAAGCAAGTGATCATAGACTTGAACTTGTAGAGGAGAGTCTGGAAAATGTTAAGGCTGATGTGTTGATTGCTCAATTTCGTGATATGGAGTTTGCAATCCGGATTCGGGGGTTGGCTGAGGATCCAAAGGAGAACTTAAGACAAGTAATTTCAGACGCACTTATGGATGCTTTGGCTTGTGGACAGGAAATTTATTTGGAAATAGAGCGTGTCTTTAGGGTGAACTCGTGGATTGCTCGTCAAAAAAATTTGTCAAGAGACGTGGTGGTCTATTTTACAAGAAAATCGAGACGAAATGAAATAATGCAGCTTTTTTACCAACAAAGATTTAAAATTTTAAATCAAGACATTATTCTTTTAAAAGAAATTCCAGCGAAAATACTCAGAGCGCGCAGAGACTACGCTTTTCTGACACAGGAGCTTAAGAATAGACAAATAATTTTCAGATGGGACATACCGGTGGGCATAATTGTAACCGTGGCTGGTAAACGCTACAGACTTAATTCGATTAAGAAAGCTAATGATTTCATGGCGTCTGTTTTGCAAGCAGAATGCCCACCCACACTTCAAAGGATTGACGCAGCTGAGCAATT